GGATGGTTCTCAACATGTTTTTTCGCGGTAGCGCATTACACACATGATTTCAAGTGTGCAACGGTTTCAAAGATGACGGGCGTAGCGCTGCTGAAATTCAGCTGTCGCCATCGCGCCGCGCACATTCGGTTCAAAAGGTTGCAACAGTTTCAAAGATGGAGGTACGTTCCTTTCCAAAACGTGGCTCTCGCCTTGGCGCCGCGCGCATTCGATTTCAAAAGTTGTAACTGGCGTAAGGATTCGCGGAGTTGACGTCGTCGAAATGGTATTCTGGCACAGGTTGGGGCCATCAGGCCGTAATTGTCACGTTGTTTCGCGGCGTTGGGTCCCAGGGACGGTGCTCTGGCACGATGTAAGGTTGTCAGGACGCAGCAGTCGCGTTAATTTGTGGCGTCGAAGTCCAAGGAATTGTGTCTTGGTGCGACTGGTGATTCTCAGATGGTTGTCTTTCAGTTGTGCATTTTTTTGCGATGAACATGCATTGTTATAAGTACTTGTGAAGAGGAGACTTGGAGGGAGCATGTATTGCAACAGCGTTGACGCGTCTTGGGCTTGCACTAGTCCCCTCCTCCTCCACATCCTCCTCCTCCCACTTATCATTCCGCTTCTCATGCACATTTCCCCTCGTCATTTTTATCTTCCTCGTCCTGGCTCCGTCTCCCGTCTCCTCCTCTTCATCCTCCTCCTTATCCCCCTGCTCGTGTGCCTCCCCCCCCCGACCACCGGCCCCCGTCCACAAACAAACACACGCATATACACCACTTCCACCACCCGATGACGGTCGGCCGTTCTTGTTGCCCGGGAGGTGGGGCAGCAGAGCCCCTTCCACGCGTTGCTGCACTTGGCCTCGGAGGGGGAGGCAAGGTGGCAGTGGGTGCTGCAGGCCCAGCAGGCTCGAGAGCTCCTCGTCTTCAGCGCCATCATCACCACCATTCGCATCATACTCGAAGTACACATCTTCACAATCACCATTATGGTCTGCATCCCCACCATCATTACGAACATGATAACAATCAACGTGCACGTCATTATCGTCGTCCTCCTCCTCCTCCTCCTCCTCCTCCTCCTCCTCCGTCTCCTCCTCTTATTCATCAGCATCCTCATCATTAGCAGCAGCAGCAACATCATCTTCGTCGTCGTCATCATCGCCGTCGTCATCACCACCAGCACCACTGTCATCCTTACCATCCAAAGTACCACCTCATGTCATCATCACCTCATGATTCTCCCCGTTCCCCTACATTGCAATTGTTATCCCCATCGTCCTTGCTCCTTGTGCTCCTCAGCCGTGCCGCTTCAATGTGAAGGACATCCACTTCGAGGTGGACCTTAGGATCACCTTCCGGCCCTGCGTGATGAGGCTTGCTCTGGTCGCGCGGCCTCTGGCCGCATTCGAAGTGCCCTCGTCCCCCGCCGTGGGATGATTGGGGCCAGTGGCACGTTCATTGGCCTGGGGCAATATATGCGGGCTGGGTGTTTACCATCATCAGCCCGAGGTGCCTTGGTCAGCTCGTGCATGGCGCCATCCTTGGCGCGCGGTGATCTTCTCCACGGGCCGACAGTGGGCCGTACACCCCAGGCGCCTGAACCGCGACTTCTGATAGGCTTTGTGACATAAGAGTGACGACCTTGGTCGAGTTCACGACCAGCTCGTCTTTCGCTATGTGCGCAGGCATCAGGCTAAAGGCGAGGGCCCCCACTAGCGCGGCAACGACTGGGCTGATGCTGCATGTAGGAGGACCCTGCGGCTGCCACGCGCCCGTAGGCCATCGTCTCCGCAGTGTTGGTCGCAACCGCCGCTGCCGTCGCCGCGCAGCGGCCAGGGCCGCATCCGATCAACGGGCTCCTCCCGACCAAAAAGCACAGCCGCAGCGTGAGCAATGTGAGCGCGGTTGTGGCGGCCCCGACGGCGCCTTCTTGTTCGTCTGGGGCAAGCGTCAGCGGGGCGGCGCCATCGACGCCAGCGCCAGCTGCGACAATGCCGCGATCGTCTGTTCCGCACCCGCCGCCAACCGGCGAACCGCCTGCCAAGCGGCGACGAGGAGGCCAGTGCGGCGCGGTGGCCGCACCTGCACATGCCGCTCCACGGCGACGTGCCCTTTTGCGGCAGCGCACGGCCACCGCTTCCACATGGCGAGATACGTGGTGATGTGCGTCGCTCGCGTGCACCGGGCCATGCTCGGAGCCCTGCTGAAGCCATGCGCGCGATCTCGCTCACGCAGCGCATCGACGGCTTCCTGGGCATAAGCTGCGTCAAGATTTGACCGAGCGTTTACTGGCACGGTGGGGTCGCTATTATGTCAGACGTTTCAGAGCATCGCGGTCCTGGGCGAGCCCGAGGAAAACTTCCGTTGGCAATTTTCTGATCACCCGCCTGTCATGCTCACATAGGGCGCGCGGGCGCTCGGTCTGTACATGGCATGGTCAGTCTCGCCCACGCCCTCTCCCTTTCTCCGTCTGCGAGATCCGCGCTTCCCCATTCCCATCAAAGAGTACGAGGTCATTGCTCGTCTGGAACTTCTGGAGCGGGATCCCTCCAGGTTGCTCGATCAGGCCGCCCTGCGCGGGCAGGCTGCCGACGCTGCGTTGCGTGTTCTTTCCCCGCAGAACTCTCCGACTTCGCCTGCAATTCGAGCAATGTTTGTTGTTTTGCTCGGCGCGTCGCGCAGTCGAGCAGGGGGGGGGGAGGGCGGAGGAGGGCGGAGAAGGGAGGGGGAGTAGGAGGGGGGAGGAGGACGAGGAGGGGGAGGAGGTGGAGAGGGCCCCCAGGTGGATGCGCGATCCAAATACTCAGACGCGTCACAGGTGTTGGGCAACATCGCATTATGACTGGTGGTTCAATCCTGCCACGAAACAGCATCGGCGTGCGCCCCGGACCAAGCTAAAATTTTACGATTCGACCATTTCGAAGTTGATCGACGCGCGGCAACTGAATTTGCCGCGCGCCGGCCAACTTCGAAATTATCGAATCTCTGACGCGACGTCGGCGGTGGCGCCGCGGGCGATGACGCGACGTGGCTACCAAAGCCCGACTCGACGGTGGCGCCGACGCGGCACTGTGGACCCTGGAAAAGCTGCTGGGCGAGAACGGCGAAATCATTGAGGTTTGGAAGCACAAGTGATTTGCCCCCTGCAGCATCGCGGCTTCAAGCCTGCAGGCCAGCGCCTGCGGCGAGGTCGAAGGCTCACCTGGCGTTGCAAATGCATCAATGTGGCCCTCGCCCTTCCTCCGCCCCCCCCTGCCCTGCCATTTCCTGCCCCCCTCTCCTCCTTCCTGCCAATTTATTCGGCGGCGCGCCTCGGGGGGCGGGGCGGAATGGGGGTCTTCGAAGGCCGGGCGTGTCTTAGAAGCCGTCCGAAGGCGCGCTGCTTCTGAGAACCCCCCCGCGCCGCCCCCCGCCCGCCGCGGCGCGCTGCCGATTCTCACCGCCCCCATATCCTACCGGCGCCTTCCAGGGGATGCGCGCGCACGTTGGAGAGGGCCCCATTGATGCGCATGGATTCGGAGGGCCCGTGCATAAGCACCTTCGCGCCGCCGGCGACGCAGCGCGATCGCGCGGTCATCGAGCGCGTGGCCATTATGACAGCGCGTTCCCGACGCTCGTTTAGTGCCCGGCCCCATTGCGAGAGTTTCGTCGCGCGGAGTTTCATCGAAGAGCTCGTCGAGCACGAGCTCGACGACATGAGATTGGGCGCGACTCGGGGGCACCCGACGCAGGGGGCATTATGCAAGTATCATATTGCTGAACCCACTCTGGCCAATATTGCGAGAACACCATTCCCGAGGAGAGTGGAGAAGGCAGGGCGACGAGGAGGGGGGAGGCGGAAGAGGGGCAGGTGCACGGGGGGATGAGGGGTGGGATAGCGAGAAAGAGGAAGTGAGCAGGAACGCTGCCAGCGGTTCTCGGCCCCCCCCCCAGCGCACGCCCTTTGCCGCGATGCGGTTCAAGAAGGGCGGCTCCCGCGCGAGGCCCAAGAAGCGTCGATGCTCTGAGCCCCGCGACGGTGAACCAGGATGTTTTTGTTGCAAATGCGAAGCAGTGCGCGCCACATGCATTTTCTGCGATGCAAAATCACAGCGCAAGCGCAAGCTCGTCCGCTTGGAAGCCCCTGCTGGGACTGACTTCCAAGCGCTGCGTCTCAGCGCTGCCGGGGCTTGACGTTCCCTGCGCGACCTCCTGGCGAGGCGTAGTCTCGGGGGCCCGGATCGGCGGATGGGGGGGGGGGGGCGGGCTTCCCAGAGGCCCGAAAGTGCCATGTCCATGCCATGGGAAGTGCAACCTGCCATAGCTCATCCATCCCCCATGCGGGGCATAGGGCGCGCATCCAGCATGATAATGTGCATGCCTCGCGAGATCATTAGTTCATGGATGCACAGTGGGGGGGCGTGCCACGAAACGCGTTGTTTTCTTCCTGGGCCCACTGGGCGTTTCAAGTTTCGGCGGTTTGCAGCGCTGCGAGATCTCTCTCTGGAAATCCCGGGGCTTTAGAGTTGGATTCTCGAGGCGCGCTTCATGCGGCCGAGTTCCAACTGCGCGCGCGCGCTGGGGATGAACTTGCGTTTGGTCGCGGGATGGCCGCTCGATGTGATCGACGTTGTCTGAGAAGGAGGGCGCGCTCGGATGTCTTGCCGCCCCCCGCCGTTGCCCGCCGCCCTCTGGAACGCTCGCCGCGAGAAGAGGGGGCAAGTTAGGGGGGTGTTCCGCCGTGTTTTTGTTCCCTGCCTCTGGAACGCTTGCGCGAGAAGGGGGGGGGGGGGGGGGGGGGCAGGTTGGGAAGGTGCGTCGCCTTCTCGTTTGCCAGCTGCCCTCTGGAACGCTTGCCGCGAGGAGAGGGGGGGCGCGGGGGGGCGGGGTTAGGAAGGCGCGCCGCCATCTCCTTCTGCCCGCTGCCCTCTGGGGCGCTCGCCGCGAGAAGGGGGGGGGAGGGGGGGGGGGGGGGCAGGTTGGGGAGGTGCGCCGCCTTCTCCTTTCTTCGCGGCCCGATGTTGCTCGCCAACGTTCTCTTCGACTGAGACGGGCCGCTCCTTCCCCTTGTGCCTGGCAACCCCAAGGGCGCCAGGGTAATCGCGCTTCGCGGCCCATGTCACCCCCAGGCCAGAGAGCTGCCCTTTCCAAGGCGCCCCCCCAGGGCCGCGAAGATAACCGCGCGTCGCGCATCGCGGGTCGCGATGCGCGAAGTTAGGTAACCTAGTTGGCCCCCGCGATCCTGGCCCGCTGATCCTGGATTCGAACTCGGCATCGCCGCCGCCGCCGCCGCGGGGGTGCATTCGGCGAGGAGGTCCAGAGCCTTCCGAGCGATGTCTCCAGAGAGAGGGGGATGCGTGGATAGGGCATGGGGGTCGGAGGTGACTCGAGCGAGAGAATGGGGGACCCTGCCGCGGAGCCCCCACGGCTCCTCGCCCTGGTGGTAATGCCGCGTTTCGTGCTGTTGCTCTCGTCTTGCTCCTGGCTACCACTGCTGCTGCTTCATTAACTATCGGGATTCCTCTGTTGCCCCCACCTCTCAACTCATTCCCTTTGCCGTCTGCTGCAGCTCCTGCTGCTGTTGCTCCACAATTACACAATATGGAAATATTCTCCCACTTCCCCTGATGGCGCCCAGAAGATATCCGACACCCCCCCGCGTATTGTTTTTCACACACAGGATTCCCGGGAAACGGGTTCTCGCTTGTGTTTTTCCCCCAGAATGTTGCTCTCGCCGAGGCGCCGGCTTCATTTTCGGGCCCCGCTCGTTCCGAATCGTGCTCCCGCTGCAGCGCTGGCTTCATTTCCGTGCTTCCGGTCTTTCCGAATCGTGTTCCCGCTGCAGCGCTGGCTTCATTTCCGCGCTTTCGCCCGTTTCGACTCGCGCCCCCGCTGCAGCGCTGGCGTCATTCCCCGTGCCATGCCA